GCTGGCACAGCCGCGCTGGCCGAAACAGCCGCACTGGTGACCTGTGGAGATCCTCCACCTGGGAATTGCCTAGTCTGTGGGCAATAAAAATGCGGCGTCCACTCACCCTCTGCGCTTTCACTGGGAGCTGCAATCCCGAGCTGTTCCTAAACGGCCATCTTGGATCCTCCCCTTTGCCTCTTGACTCTTGTTTCATCAGGAAGGTCGGGGTCTGCTGCAGGTGGGTTTCTGTAACACTGAAACCCTAATGCTTTACAGTCAATTATATTTTAGATGCTGTTTCCCCAATAGTCTATTGTTAGATTAATTTTATCATTTTACCCAATTATTGTAAAATATTTCTGTGTGATGAAATCAATTTGATATTGGATAAACTTTTAAAAATAAACCACATAATGTCGTCTTGATTAAAAGTTCAGTATTCTGAAGAGATATTTTTTCACCTATATGTTTTTTGCAGAATGAATATAGCTAAATTTCAGGCAAGCACAATAATAAAGAGGTTAAAGTTTGCAAAGCTCGAGATACATGTAGTTTCGTAATAATCAGTATAGTATCTCTTGCCAAAATTCTGTTGGCAACTGACTATCTAATTTGTTAACTAGATTTCATTTTACGTATTATCCTCAACATTAAGAGAGCCTTCATCATGTTGATATTATAGGAACAGGTTTGCCTTGACTTCTGTTGTCACACTACATTTGCATGTTCCATTTTGCCTTTGCTCTTTAACTCCAAATTGAGAGTGATGCTATATGAAATATTATAAGAATAAAAAATCATCACTGAATTAGGTTAATAGGAACTTAAAATTATTTTTAAAGTTATTAATTTGTAAACTTTTTGCCTATTAACATTCCATATTTTCAAAGGAGAAAAGGTTGATGCCAGAGATCTGAAAAATGTTCTTGGAGACATGGGGATAGAAGTCAATGATAAGGAATGTGTGGAACTGCTAACATTACTACCAGTTGATGGTGAGCTGACTGTTCGTTACTGTGAACTCCAGGCAGTTTAGTTTTATGGTTCTACTCTTTAAATGTATATGTGAAAGTGATGCATGTTCACATGCTACCTGCACACATCCTCCAGCTCTTGTTTCCATATGAACAATCATTGTTATGTGCTAACTTGGGTGCAGAATTCAACCCCCAAAAGAATCCTCTTCTGCAAAACCAGTGTTGAGAAAGAAAGATGTTACTTATGATTTTGCAAGGAGGAAAGGGATTTATATCTGTTGTCTCTCAGTAAACATTGCCAAAGTCCTCATGAGAATTTCTGCCCTTTCCCAGAATCACTTTTCATCTATTGCCACTGGTGATTCCCTTTTCCTGACTCTTATCTCTCACAGAGCTAAACCCTAAAAATTCTTTCCTCTGTTCTCAATTTCTGGGAGGATACCAAACTTATCTCCCCTCTCTATTAGGAATGTTGTTTCTTCCTTTAAACACGAAGTCCCCACATCTTCCCAAAATGAGCTTTTGCTTATTTATCCCTGCAAGCAGTTCTTATACCAGCTGCTAGGAAATTAAATTTTTCCATATGTTATAACAGTTTGGAAGTTATTAAAACCTTCAAGCATGAGCTTTGCCACCAAGGACTAAGCAAATCCCTGCTGCTACCCATTCGGCCATTGACATGTCAAACTTTAGCTGTAGGAGGAGGTAAACAGAATGAAAATGTGATAGAAATAAGGGAGGAGAGGAGTTTCAGCTTTGTAATTTAAAACCAACAGTTGCCTTCAGTGTCAAAGAGTAAGTAGTTCTATTAACAATAACATATAGACTTAAGTCCTAATGATGTGCAGTTACTATCCTCACCACACATAATGATGACACATCTCTATCTTACAGTGGTGGAAACAGAGGCATAGAAAGAGTAAGTAACTTGCTTAAGGCCACAAAGCCAGTCTGCAGGGCAAGAATTTAATTGCAGGCTCTTGACCTCTACACTAGATTACCACTCCATATCATAATGAAATCTTTGTTGCTTAACTTCATCATTATTTGAAGGTGAAAGAGGGTCAGTTTCTAAGGTCAGTTTAACAAAGAAAAGTCTGCCCCTTATAGCCTCTTAGTGAGTCATTCTCTGTCCTGAACTGTGCCTTTTCTTACAGGTGATAAGAAAGTTTTTCGGAATAGATTGCTAACGGGTTTGAAGTCTTTCAAAGGTGTGTAATAAATGTGATAAGAAAGTATGTAAGATTGAGATTCTCAATCTTTGTCTTTATTTCTAGTAATGAGGGCATAATTGTACTACCTCTTCTGTTTATTGTTTATATATTGATCTTATAGTCTTTCGTGTGTGTATGCTGTGCAAGCTTCATCCCAGGATCACTCTCAAAGCAAACAATCTTAAGTATCTCCGCTTTTGCTTTCTATTTAGTCTTAGATAGGTCTAATTAAAGTTGGGGCCTTCACAGTGCTGAAAATAACCATCATAATGCTTGGCTCTGAATTGCTAGTATTCTTTTATTTATTTATTTATTTTTTTCAATATTAAAAAGTGTCACATGGCCAGTAAATAAAGTATCTAACTTTTTTTTTTGAGACACAGTTTCACTCTTGTCCCCCATGCTGGAGTGCAATGGCACAGTCTCGGCTCACCGCAAACTCCGCCTCCTGGGTTCAAGCAATTCTCCTGCCTCAGCCTCCTGAATAGCTGGGATTACAGGCACCCACCACCACACCTGGCTAATACTTGTAATTTTAGTAGAGACAGGGTTTCACCCTGTTGGTGAAACTCAAACTCAGACTGATCTCAAACTCCTGATCTCAGGTGATTCACCTGCCTCTGCCTCCCAAAGTGCTGGGATTATAGTTGTAAGCCACCACACCCAGCAGTGTCTAATTTTTTTAAAATAATACTCATAGTCCTCCTTTCTAATCATAACCACTCTTAATATTTTGAAGCCTGTATAGTTAAAATATTAAAAACCTCATATAGTCAAAATTACCCTGAAATCCTATTGGAAGATCACATAAAAGTTACCAATATACTAGTCTTGATAAGTTCCAACTTAGTAACTTTTTCATCCAATGATGGAATAGATTTCTATAGTTGAAAAATTAGATGAAGCAATTGGTCAAGATCCATGATATGCAAAAATATATCTAATACTGGAATCATACTGAGTTAAAATGCTCACAGTATGATAAGCACAGGAGAAATTAGTCCATCTGGTAGAATAATAAATTGATATTGTCTATCTGAGGTTCACTCTACTTATGTGCTTGCTATCTGTGGAATAGCAGAAAAATCACAGTTATTATTTACATTGTTTGTTTTATGTTTATTTTTACTGGGCATAAGGACTTTAGTAAATATGTATAATTCCACCTTATTTTCAAAATGTATATTTTTCCTGTGGCAAACATATTTTTAATGGCTATAGCTAAATAATTTCCTATGAGTTGAAAATACATTGATTTACTTAATGCCCTGTTGTTAGATATTTAAATTCTACGTGTTTGAGTTTGTTTTACTTATTGTAACAAAGGCTATAATGAACTTGTTCCCTCTGTTGGCATAAGGTTTACCTGTATTCCCAAAAGTGAAACTATTGGGCTAAGATTTTTGAACTTTTTAAATAATAGAGGCAGAGTCTCACTGTGTTGCCCAGGCTTGTCTCGAACTCCTGGGATCAAGCAATCTTCCCGCCTCAGCCTCCAAAAGTGCTGGGATTATAGGCGTGAGCTACTATACCTGGCCATATTTATGAACATTTTAATGGATCATGATAGTCATTGCCAACCTATTTTCCAATTAGTTCATTGCAATTAACTCTCAGACTTTAACTAACTCATCAGCATGAAAAGTATTTTTCACATTGTCTTTATTAGGCTTTTTTTAAAAATCACATTTCTTTCTCTTCTTTAAGGAGGAAAGATTGATATCAGTAACCTGAACACAATTCTGGGGAACATGGGGATCAAGCTCAAAAATAAGGAACTCCAAAGTGTGATACAAAATCAACCTGTTGATGGTGAGCATTGTAAATAAGTATTTTGCCTTAGGGGAGACTTTAGAATTTTGGGATCATGAATATGAAATGAAATTCTTTTTTACTTTCTTTTTTCTTTTTTCTTTTTTTTTTTTTTTTGAGATGGAGTCTCACTCTATCACCCAGGCTGGAGTGCAGTGGCTTGATCTCGGCCCACTGCAACCTCTGCCACCTGGGTTCAATCGATTCTCCTGAGTAGCTGAGATTACAGACAACTGCCACCACACCTGGCTAATTTTTGTATTTTTAATAAAGACAGGGTCTCACCATCTTGGCCAGGCTGGTCTTGAACTCCTGACCACGTAATCTACCTGCCTCAGCCTCCCAAAGTGCTGGGATTACAGGTGTGAGCCACCACGCCCAGCCAAAGGATCATGTATATGAATTTCTAAAACTAGATTGATTTGAAGCACTTAAGACATTTCTAAGAATCATGGAGAAGAACTTGGTGTGAAAATAAGAACTCCTGTTTTTTGTCATTTTTATTCATCTGGATTATTATCCTGCTCAACTATAAGCAATGCTGAGAGGACATTCACAACTGTTATCAGGCCAGAGAATAGTAGGGAGAAGCAGACATGAGAGCAAGGGGGGAAATGAATGAATAAACAACAAAGAAAGCCAGAAATAAATGAGAGAAAAATATCTACAATAGCAAGTAGCAGAACATCATTAATATTTCTTCAAGTATCTAACAACCACATGTCACCACCATTTTGAGATATATACAGAAGTTGAAAACATTAGAGGAAAGCATGTTGAGGATAGATAGAAGCTCAGTATCTGTGTTAGATGTCAGGTTCACACATGCAAAAAAATCTCTATGATAGTGTCTTTTACCACACTTATTAGAAAATATCTGAAAACCCAAGAATCAAGGACACAGTACGTTTGTCATAGTCAAACCCTGTGTTTAAGGAACATGGGCTGACTACCTTGGTCCTCTTTACTAATAAAGAATTAAGCACTCAAACCAGGAAATATAAACTTAATATGAACACAGTTTATTAAAATACATAGTCTTTCATTGGGCTGTAACTTATAATTTTTCTAAGTTCTATGTCATTGTCCAAATTTGTTATGCTTTGTATTACAGCTAATGAAAATGTTCCCCTGAAAAAGGTGATGGATGATGTGAAAGCAGTTACAGGCAAGTTAAAACTTACTGTAAATATTTAAATTGTAGTTTTTAAATTATTTTTCTCATCTTTTCAGTTAGTACATATATTTATAAACATCCTGCTAATATCCATGAATCCAAAAATCAACAAAATAACTAGAATATTTTCAATATCTTTGGAACAACCCATGGTTACTCCCCCCCCATTTCCCTGCCTCCCTATTCTGAGATAACACTATTCTGAATTTTATATTGTTTATTTTTCTTTTAAAAAATAATAGTTTTATCACCTATGTAATAACAACATAGTCTTTCATTTTTCTTGGTTTGACTGTATAAAAATACTACATATATATATTTAATTTTCTGTAACTTTCTTTTTTAAGATAATTATGTCACTTAGGATTTTATAGCTTATTTTAGTTTATTCTTTTTCATTACTATATACTTATATATAAAGATTGTATTCTTCAAATATACCATAATTTATCAAATTACCTATGTATGTATACTTACATTGTTCCTGTTTTTAAATATTCTTTTATATATCATTATTATAGGTTTAACATTATAAACAATCCCTGAGTCACATTTACAAGAGTTCCATTACTAAACTTCAAGTCTAGGGTATGCTCAAGAATAGAATGTCTTCATCATAGTGTATATGAATATTCAACTTATTAAAGTAGTGCCAATTCATACCAAAAATAGCTGTAATATTAATCATCTTTCGAGCAAACTAGGAGATTTACAATGCTATTATGAAAGTTTTTTTTCCAGTTTAGTAGATGTAAAAGAATATCTAATTAAGGTTTAAATTTACATTTCCTTGATTACTAATGAAGCTGAATATCTTTTTATATATTTATTACCTATTTGTATTTTATCTTCAATAAAATGCCAATTAATGCCTTTTTACCTATTTTCCTATTAGGTTATCTTTTTTTATAGCTCTTTATATGTATGTCTAGATGTCAATCATTTGTCAATTATATATGTGTCTTCTCCCAGAGTTTGTCTTACCCTTTTCACTTTCTCTAGTGTGCCTTTTGTTAAAAAGCTGTTCATAATTTTAATATAATAAATTTTATTACTTTTTTCAAGTTTAGCATATTTTGGGTCATTTCTAAAAAATATATTCTTGCCCCAAGTCATGAACAGTAGTCCATATTTTCTTCTTAAAGTTGAAAGTTTTGACATTCAGCGTTAAGTTTCTAATTCAGTTGTAGTTGATTTTTTTAATGAGATGCAGATCTAATTTTAATCTTTTATTTACAGATAAACAGTTGTTTCAGCATTATCTATTAAATGATCCCTTCTTTCCCAGATGATTTGTAATATTCACTTTGTCATAAATCAGTTTCCATATATGCTTGGGTGTCATAAATTAGTTCCCATATATGCTTGGGTGTTTCTTAACTATCTAATTACTGATTACTCTGGTTTTATAATAGATCTTTCTATCAGTTAGGACATCATGTCTCACTTTATTCATCTTTTAGGGGCATCTTGTGATTCTTGGTTCTATTTTCCCATATAAATTTTAGAATCAGCTTGTCAAATTCATTTTTTAAAAATCTATTGGAATTTTAATATTGAAATTGCATTGAATCTCCATACATCAATTTCATGAGAAAAGATTATGATCAATTGTTTTTCCAAGCATGATATAGATCTCCATTTATTTAATTTGCCTTACTGTCTTTCAGTAAATATTTTATGTCTGGGTATGGTGGGTCATGCCATAATCCCTACACATTGGGAGGCTGAGCCAGGAGGATCACTTGAGTCCAGGAGTTTGAGGCTGCAGTGAATTATGACTGTGATACTGCACTCTAGTTCTGGGCAACAAAACAAAACCCTGTCTCAAAAAAAAAAAAGAAACCTTATTAGCTTCATTTCTAAGTATCTTAATGTTCTGCTAATCAAAATGCTGTTTTTTTTTTAAATTATGTTTTCTTTCTTTGGTTAAAGTATAGAAATGCAACTGATGTTTCTATACTGATCTTAAACCAACTTCTTGCAAAACTCTCCATTAATTCCAGCAATCTGCTCATAGGTACTAACGGAGTCTTTTAGATACATAAATTATTATGTATCATATGTAGATACACGCATTTTGTGTGTTGTGTGTAGATAAATAAATTTTTATGTGTCACATGGATATATAAATTATATATATAGATAATTACCTACAAATGGGGACTGTTTCTGTTTCTTCTTTTTCAACTGTTCAATGAATCTGCTTTGGGAAATTAAATATAAATTGAAAAAATAAAAAGAAAATTCAAGTGTTCCAACTTATATGTTTTTCCTTGCCTTACTGCAATAACTAGGACTTCTAATCTATACTGCTAAATACAGTGTTCATAGTCATTCTTGTCTCATTCCTGATTGTAAAGGAAATGTCTTAACATTTTATCTTTGAGAATGTTTGTTGAAATTTCCGGATGACCAACCCTTTATTAAGTTAAGGAATTCTCCTATTCTCTTTTCGCTGGAAGATGAAGGCAAGGTGTTTGCCTGTTTTTTTCACTACTGTAACCCCCAGTATTTGGAACAATACCTAGGCTATTGTACTTGATCAATAATGTTTATTGAAATAATTTGTTTATTGAGATGATTGTATGGTTTTTCTTTTAATCTTTGATGTGGAAAATGGCACACATACATTTTTTTCACTTAAACCACTCTTGCATTACTAAGATATATTGAATTTAGGCATGAATTTTGGATTAGGCTTACTGATGTTTTCTATCAGATTTTTAAATCTGTTTTCATGACTGAAATTGTTGTATAATTTTCTTTTATGTACTATCATGTTCCATAATTTTCATGTACTTTTGGTATCAAGGTTAAATTGGCCATATATAATCCGTATTGGGGAAATATTTCCTTTTTATTAGTTTCTGAAAGAATTTGTATAAAATTAGAATTGGCCAGATATGGTGGCACACACCTGTAATTCTAGTGCTTTGGGAGGCCAATGCAGGAGGTTTGCTCAAGGAGTTCAAGATCAGCATGGGCGACATAGTGAGATCTCGTCTCTACAAAAAATATATACAGCTAGTGCTCGACTTACGACCATGATTGGTTCAGACAGACCGGTCGTAACACGATTTGGTCATAAGTTGAGTAGGCTATATGTACAGTACTGTGAAATGATGTTATAAAAATCTTTAAGTCATATTTTATCATAATTTTCTTTCATTATTGTTATATATCATAATTTTCTTTGTTCATTTTATGCCATTTGTATCATCTCTACACCATTTTGTTTCTTATTTTTACATTTGTCAGGTTTAAGTAAAACACTGCATTACAACTGGTTTAATATTTGCAAAATATACAAAATTACAAAATACAGGTGCATACGAAAATACAAAATACAGGTGTAAAAAATACCATAGGAAACATTTTCCCAATTGCAAAACATATCAAAATATATAAACATGTACGCAACATTTTATTGGTCGCTGGTGCTTGGCTGCGGATCGTTGATGTCGTCATCTGAGGCAGCAGTTGGAGTTACCGGAGTTGGTTTTTTCATAAACATGGTGAGCTTTGTCTGAATTGTATGTTTCTTTTTTTCTTCATAAATTTCACAATACGGACGAAACACATCGTGCGCCATCCGTTCAATCCTTGCAAATCGTTCGATGTTTGGGTCCATTGCTTCAAAATGTATAAGAAGTTTATTCAGTAAAGATAAACCGTAGACAAAGAGGCGTAGACGAAGACAATTTCCTCTTGGTAGACATCTTGGGAGGGGTTTGATGAAAAATATCCAAGACACAAAACACAAATTGCTGTACCGAGTCTGGGATAACAGTTGAAATGGTGCATGTGGAGGTGGTAGTGCTGCCAGAAGCTGGTCCGCACTGTCATACGCCCAGCTGGGCAACGTTTGCGCTGCCAGACGCAGAGCAGTCGTGGCTAGTGATTGTGGTCATAAAGTCAAATGGTCATAAGTTGCATAGGTCGCAAGTCGATCAATACCTGTATACTTTCAAATTACCTGGAGGTAGTGGTCCACACCTGTAGTCCCTGTTACTCAGAATGTTGAAGCAGGAGTCGTTTAAGTTCAGGAATTTGATATTATAGTGAGCAATGATGAGCACCACTGCACTCCAGCCTGGGCAACAGTGTGAGATCCTGTCTCAAAAAAAAAAAAAAATAGGTTGGAATAATGTGTTTCTTGCAGGTTTGGGCTGGGTACCAGTGGCTCATGCCTGTAATTCCAGCACTTTGGGAGACCAAGGCAGAAGGATCACTTGATCCTAGGAGTTCAAGACCAGCCTTGGCAACATAGCAAGATCTCGACTCACTAGAAATTTAAAAATTGGCCAGGCATAGTGCAGGCCTATAATCCCAGCTACTTGGGAGACCAAGGCAGGAGGATCACTTGAGCCCAGCAGTTCAAGGTTGCAGTGAGCCAAGAT